ACCTTATTTATCTCAAGACAAGATACATGTGCAAGCATGGAGGTATGTCATATTACACAAGTGTGCCGTGTAGAAGACAAATTATGCTATTTCAAGTCTGCACCAAGTCTTTAAGGGTCAGTTAGAATGTAATTTTTTTTAAATTATTATTATTATTAGGTAAAACATAGATTTGGGATTTTTATCACTTCCACCAAAGTTTTCCAGAGTTTCAATATTTTTTTTATTGTTTAGTAATTTTCTGTTATGCAGATCTCTAAGGTACATTTTAATATATTTTTTCTAGCAACATGGGCTTTACGTATCTTGAATATATTATATTATTTATTTTCTCAGTCACATCCCACAAGCCCACGTCTGAGAAAAAGTTTCTTATATTTATTCAGGCTTTTTAAAACTATTATTAAAGCAGGAGAGTTTAGTTTTTTAGTTTTTCTCTTCGGGTAGGATTTTGAGCTGGTGAATTTGATGGCTTTATTTATCGTTCATTGCACACACTGTATATCATGGGCCTGAGATTATAGCCTTATCTAATTTCCCATCTACATTTATCCCACGGTTCTTTTGTCCTTTTGTATTTCGTTAGGTCATACGGTGGTTTGGATCCTGAGGGCACTTTGTGTACTCTTACAAGTTACAAGTTCTGTATTTCTTTTTGCTACAGGCAACAGCTGACTGATACACCACATGACACCTCGACATAACTCTAACAAGAGAGAGCAAAGGAGAGAAACACCATGAGGAAAAATAAGAAAAGACTCGAACAGAAGGAGAGAGGAAAAGGGCAGTCAGTAAATAAAAGAAAGATCATGTTTGAGTTAAGTGATGTGAGCATGTTGGAAGAGTCCATGTGTGCATGCTGGAGGCTCTGCTGGTCATCGCATGGACGTGGAGAGCAGCACTTGTAAAAGAAAGGGTGTATGTACTCTTTCTGTTGGGGGGTGATTAAACATTGATGGCAACTACTGAAGGAGTTTTTCACTCATCTGTACTTTGTCTATACTCTACTAAAGATCTGAAAGCCAATCCTATTCGCATCAAAGTGCTTCTTCCTTCCTTACATATCTAGGTTTCAACACAGCAATGTCCCAGGAGCATGTTTGCTACTTTAAACCTAGAAGTATAAACTGCATCACAAGTTCCTTACGTTCTGATGTCCTCTCCCAGGAAGCAGCGGTTGCGCAGTAGCCCCGCCCACAGCTGGACTCCCACAATGCCAAAAATGAAAAAGACGAAGAAGCAGAGGAGAAGGACATTTCCCAACATGGGCAGGGTGTCCAGCAGCAGCGTCACCAGGATCCTCATACCTGGAAAGTCACACAGAAATGGAAAGATGTTATCAGAAGTGATTTGATTTATTTCGAATGTTTCAAAAAATTATAATAATAATGAAATGAAACATGAGAATTATTTGACTATACAAACTTAAGAGGTGTCAAATTGATAAACAAAAATATTACTGACTCTGAATTATATATAAACAAATGATATACTTAATTACACTTCCGGAAGAAGTTTACACTTATTTAATCCCACCCCCCAATTATTAAACCCCTCTTAAAGAAATACATTTGTTATTGAAAAACAAACAAAACAAAAACAACAAACAAATAAACAAACAATTACATAAAACAGGTAAACGGTAATCAAGAACAGATCAAATAACAAACCAAATACAGGAATAAACCGTAAACACCCAGTTATGATTAAACAATTTCATCCTTGTGAAAATCATGTCCTTATACCTTTTTTAAACAGTTTGACGTTATGACACCCCTTGAGCTCCTCATTCAAACCGTTCCAAAGCTTCACCCCACAAACAGAAATACAAAAACCTCGCTTGGTTATGCGCACCCTAACATTGGGTAATTGGAATAATCCCCTTAATTTATAAATCCCTTGTCTTGATCATTTTCCAACCTTCTTCCCACGTGTTGCCTTTTAGCCTTCTCCTCGCCCTCTGGTTGCCCGACACCCTGACAACCTCTATTGATCTTGCGATCTTGGAAGCCGCACAACTTCGCCCCCGCAGCCAATATAATTACAAGTGGTGACGATACTAAAAGTGACAGTTTGACATTTTTTCATCCTCTGGGATTTGAACTCACAGCCTCCCCGTGGCTAGTATTATCTAACCACACGTGTTCAGCATCTATCTCCAGCTGTCATAAGCGTTTAACGTCAGCAGGGATGGGGATCTAGTCCCTGAGGTCGCTCACGATGTGTTCTGTCCCCTGTCACACATCGAACGGAGACTTGTCACAATGACCACGTTTAAAATAAGACGATATTACTGTAGAGCAGTGGTTGCCAACCAGTCGATCGCGAGTGTGGTAGCGGGTAGATCGACGGAACCGTTAACAAAAAAGTAACAAAAGAAAGAAAAATAATATTAAAATAATAATGTTTGAAAAATACGTTTTTAGATGTAAACCTATCATCCACCACCCCGTTAGCAGGTGCCACTTGATTGACGTATATTTGAGACACCTCAATAATATAATACATTAACCGTGCTTTACGTGAAACTCATCATGACACAAGAGACAACGGCAGGACTGTAATTTCCCGTGTTCAGTGAACGCAACAGAGGCAACACACCAGACCAATCAGAGAGTTGCATGGAAATACAC